ACTTGACATATCTTAGGCAATTTAGTAATATTATGTTCCATACTTCATTTATTTAAAAACATTTACTAAAATTAATTTCTATTGTTCAACTTTTGTGTGGGTTACAAAGCCCACCAATGATTCTCTTTGATCAGGGCATAGGTCATGAGAACTTCCAAATACAACAGGTTAGATTATCTATTGACATGTTCGCAGATTCAAGGAAGGGCTCTGGGCCTACATGTTCCTAGGAGCAATAAAATAAGAAATAATCTTCTCGTTTTTCTAGTTCTTGTTTCATCGTTTCATTCCCTGGCAACCAGCAGCAACTCGCAAATAATTTCTGACTTCTACATGTTTCCCACCTGGGACAAAAACACGCCTTCACAGCACCATGACAACCACACCAGCAACATAAGCACTTGGGTTCACGCAGGAAAATGAAAATCCTGAAAGGAAGCTGGGAGATAAAGGCTTACTATTTCTTGTTTCCCACTGGTAGGATGTAATTACAAAAATTACTTTAACACAAAGCTTCTGGTGAATGAATAGTGAGTAATTTGAGGGGAGAAGCATAAAGCCTAGGGATTAAATTAAAAATGTAAAATGCTGAATGATGTCATACAAGTTCAGGCCACCTTCCACCCAAAAATAGACTGCCTAAAGCAAACTCCTTAATGATGACAAAGTAAACATTCTTAAGAGATAGGCAGCAAACCACACTGCCATGTGTGTACCTGTGCAACAGTCTTGCATGTTCTTCACATGTACCCCAAAACCTAAAATGCAATAAAAAAAAAGAGATAGGCAGGGGTATATTTTATTTTCTTATGAGTTTAGGTAAATGGTTGATTTAATAGTAGAGGTGAAATTTATGACCCTTTAAATTTTTATCAAGTATATTGTTACCAATTAGAATTTCAAATGTAAGATAATTTTGTCCAAATTAAACGGGTTCAAAATGTGATTTTCATACTTCTAAATCTGAAAAGCAAATTAAACATGCCCACCATGATGAAGCAGACAAATTTCTTTATCATAAGCATGCCAAGTTTATGTTTTTTGTTTAATGAAAAGGATGCTATTCATCTGCTAGAAACTGGCAGTTGCTATGTGCTATGAATACTTGCCACTTCTGCACTAGAAGAGACCATTATTTATATTGCCAAATGTAAAACTGCTTTAGATCTTATTCTTTAAAGAGTAATTCTAAAGCAGAGCACTGCATTTTTTACTTTATTACCTAGTTCAATATATTTTTAAACAACTCTTCATATGTTTTCACATTGCAAAAACAATACAATTTTTCTATTAAGAGTCAAGGAAGGAGAATCCGCTAAATATGGGATTGTTTTTGTTGTTGTTGAATTATTCCAGATGATACAGTATCTTAACAGTTTCAAAACTGACTTTTGTTGGAAACTCAGCTGAATATTCTTAGGAGATAAGGAATAGAAATAGATATTTTCATTTGGTCGAGTGGAATAACTTAGGGCTCTTGAGTGTGGGAGAAGCATAATTTTTGTTTTGTTTCTAGGTTTAGTTTTGTTTTCTGAAGACATAAGGTCCTCATTATCTATAGCAAATATCGTTCCTAGGCTCCAAATTCTGTGCAGTGTATACCTTCAGATTCTCAGTGATACAACTAAGAATGAGAAAGTGGACGGCAAGAAGAGATATTCTAACCATCGATGAGCCAATCACTGTTACCTGACTCTCAAGCTAATCTCCACCCATCCCTACCACAAGAAATGTTTAGAAGGCCATTCATACGTTGCCTCTGGGACATGATTATGAAAATAACACCATGTATTTTTAATTCACTTGGTGTTCCAAAAGATCATCTAACTTAAATCTACTCAAATTGTACCAATTTATCATCCTCCTTTATCAAGCCGATTTCTGTTTCTCATTTATATATCTGAATTCTGGAAAGAGAATTCTCCAGTCTTCTAACTTAGAATTCTGACTCCTCCTTAAAAAATCTCTCCCCCTCTCCCTCTTCCTCTCCCCCTCCTCCTCCCCCTTCCCCCCTCCCTCTCCCCCTCCCTCCCCCTCCCCCTCCCTCCCTCTCTCTCTCTCTCTCTCCAACCCCTCCAACATCTACCCCTTCATAAAGCTCGATCAGTTTTACTTCACTTTTTGTACATTTGGCTCTCTCTCTCCATTGCATAGTTCAGTTCCTATAACACTTGCAACGAACTACAGAACTCAAATGAATGGCAGTTCTGAGGAACTAAATTGCCAAATCAAGAAATGCAGCTAGCCAATTACTGTGACAAATAACAAAATAGAGCAGAATATTTACATGGGCCCTACTGATGAAATCCTGCAGGGTCAGAAATGGCTTGTTTATGATCAAAACTCCTACTGATGACTTGCTGGTAGAGAAATGTATGGAGACCATGGTTCTCAAATGCATTTCATTCCAAGTAAGTCTTAGCTTATGGGTTTTATTCCTTTTCCTATATAACTCATTAAGAAAGACCTCATATGTTTCCTAAAATGAAATGTTGAATTAATTCAGAAAAGGTACTATTTTATATAGTACTTTGGTTCATTTATGAATCAATATACCTTTCTAAACCTAAAACTTTTTCAATTTTACATTTTAAAATAATGATATACATTATAAAAATATATTCTTAATTTACACTTGGAAGGTATTTGGTTCTATGAGAACACTTGGCTCTCCATCTTGTTGCCAAGAAGTTAAAAGGAGAATTTTAAAGTTCTGAATCTGAATCATTTGTTTCCCTAGGCAACAGAGTTACAGTTCTAACATACACAGTTACAACTAAAGATTCTCAAAAGGAGGTAAATTGACATCATCCACAACTTAATTCAATCAGAACTTCATAAGTAAGAAGGTGAAAATCATTAAGTTCATATTAACGTTTATCATGGAACACTTTGAGAGAACTGAATGATTCAATTATGAGTCAAGATTTAAGGTAATTGAGAGGTGACAAAGGAACTACTTTTGCTTTGACCCACAACCATCAAAACTTGTCTCAAAATGTATTACTCTAGTTTGTGGCCTACTTTGACTATAACTGCAATCTTCTATTCATGATTTAAAAACGCAGTCTTCGGTGTCTGCACTTTTAAGTAAACCAAGTGTGTTGATGTTACTAAAATTGACATTTTAAATAATTTTCTAAAGCATTTTTACAAATTCCTGTAATTACATCTAATTCCTTTATATATATGTACCCTGACTGTTAATTTCCCTATTCTATCATCTAAAAATACGCTAGGTATTAAACATAATATTTCTTGTAACTTTCCTACTTCAAGGAAAAAATAATCTTTTCTTTTTAAAATATCAGACTAATGAAAAGTCTGGCTAATATTTATAGAAATAGATACCTTTGGGAATTGAAATGTAGTAATAGGGTACAGCTTGATGAAGCTATGGTTATGACAGTCAGAACTGATGGGAGGATAGCCACAGTAACCAATCTGGCATCCAGTTCTTCTATACAATTCCATAACATGTGGCCTATGCTTTCCTAAAAGACATTTAACCATTGCTTTGAAAGAGGTATTAGATATTAGTAATATGCAACAACCAAGATTTACTTACAGAAAAAGCACTCTATCCTACTATCTATTCTTTAACATAACCAGTCTTCTGATTTAGAATATTTTTAGAATATGAAAATTAAGAGTATTCACCTGAAGACAAACAATGACCAATGGTTCAACTTTAACAAAATTCCTAACATGCAAATCTTCAGCAAAGACATTAAATATTAACAGTTAATAACATAACGAAAGGTAGTATTGATTAAGCACCCATTGTTGCTGAATACTACATTAAGCAATTTGAATGTATGTCTCATACTTATGACAACTGTGCAATATATACTACTTCTTTTTTCATGAAAAAAAAAACTGAGACTCGGAGAGGTTAAGTACTAATCTAAGGTAACAGAACAACTTGGTATACAGAGCTATTATTACTCACACCAAGTCTAACTGCAAAGCCATTACAGTGACTCTCTACGCTAGGCACACATTTCACAATACTGTATTAATGAATATGGTCCTGTTGTTTCAAATGAGAAATTTCTTTAAAATTTTCAAGACTAACTTAAAGTTATCTTAAATTGCACTAATCCGTTTGTAAAGAATTTTAGGAGAAGTTAGCATCTGAAAATCAAACTAATGACTAGGTAGCAAGTCTCAACAGGCAATCTAGAAGACAAATTATTGCTAAATTACTTGTATTTACTTCATTTCCCTAAGGGAAATCTCTTCATTCTTAATTAAGAAAGTTGTCCTGACAAATGTAACAGACTTTTTTGAGATTTGGTTAAAAAAACGATTCCCAAATTTTCTTTTCCTCCACAAAGGAAATTGTATGTGTAATTCATAAGCATATCTTCTTAATAATAAGTCACTTTGAGATTTCATTTAAACAAACAAACAAACAAAAATAGTAAACTTTGATGCACCATAATTTACTTGATTTTAGCCATTCTAGCCTAATTGGAAATAAAACTCCACAGAATAATTTGATTCATTGTCTCCTCCACATAGTAAAAAGTTTTGCAAAATAGATTTTAAAGTCAAGTAGCATTACTCTTTTCAAATATATCTATCATACTTGCCTTAAAACAAAATGCAACTCTTTGCCATGCCTATATATGTCCTTTAAAAGGTTTAAAATAATACTGATAATTCATAATTAAGATACTTCTGTAAAGCATAAAGCACAAAGATTTTCAAATTTTAACATGAGTTAGAGAACTCACAGCTTTAATTTAAAGGTATTAAAAGAAGTCATAAACATATCATGGATATATAACACACTGGAATAAATACCTATAACATATAATCTATGCATTTTTTAAAAAGCAAGCCAAATGTTATGATTTATAAATGTAAACTTCTTTTGCTACCTCCACATTATACAAGAGCACATAACAATCGCATTCTCTTATTTGATGGGAGAGTTGTTTGCATCATATCTTAAAATTAGATTTTATTATTAAACTTTGTCAAGTGCCTACCTCTGTAGTGGAAGTCTTTGGACATGCCTATGGGAGCCTGTTCTACTGCTGATCTCTTGTAGACAACATGAATTCTTCCTTTTTCTTCCTCCATCTGTTTACCTCTTTCCAAGGGTTCAATGAAATACTCTTCATTATCACTTTTTATCATTCCAGCCTAGAGAAAGCACAAAATGTGTTAATTTTAAAAAGAAGTATCTATCATCTTCAGCTAACAAGCACATCTTTTTAAATGTCAAGAATATGACTTGTGAAAACTAACGCTTTTTCTTTCCACATTTGGCTATAAATTTAAAATAGTTATTAAGTATCAATAATTCATATAAGGTAGAAATTCACATATGACAGAAATGAAAAAAAATTATATTAAGGTATTATAGAATACAAAATTTACATAGGATGAGAATAGGGAAATCATACAACATATACATTTTATCAGACCGCAAAAGTACATTTATATATTCTACTTGGTATTTTGTATCTAGTAAGAATCATATGGGACACATAAATTCAAAAACTCTCTGATCTCCCATAGTACCCCATTGTGGACCACTTCTCCACATGTTACATACTTTTTTCTTATTTACACCTTCCTCCCAAACAAGGTGGTATGTGAGAAATGAGTTCCATGCTACATTTAGTATGTAAAGTTACTTCTTAAAATAGTCTCGTTAAGCTTATGCAGAAATTCCACATTTCTAAAGTTTATTAATTTGAAGAACTAACTCATATTTGTCCTAGTTTAACTTCATAATTATCATAACATTAACATTATATTTATATATAGCTGCCTCAAACTTCATTCTTTCACACTGAAAAGCCTAACCTTACATTCAGTTCCCCTATTTATTGTTTTCTGTTTGATCAGTCAGAAAACACCAGGGCTATATATTAGCCAGTTCTGTTCCTGATGATAAATGATGGCTTGTTTTCTAAAATGCGATATTTCTTAAATATCAAGTCCACATTACAGTCAAGTAATTGTGGCTTGTATTTCTACTTTAAACATCATACATTAGTATGACATTAATTTAAATATAAGCACATTTATTTGAAAACAAAATTGGAATAATGTGTTCATGTGGAAATGGTAATTAATTTGAAAATATACATCAGATTTAGAGATGTCATATTTTTTCTCAGGCCTTTAACTTATTCTGTTTTTCACACATGAGGTTACTGGCTCTCATGCAACAGGGACAAGGGAGGAGATTCTTACTCCTTCGAACTATGTTGACGTTTTTGCCATTATGCTGTCAAGCAACATAGAAATGAAAGGGAGGTGTTCTTTACCAAATAGTGTGTTTTCAGCAAATATATGTATTTATATTTATTTATATATATTTATGTATATTCGTGTACATACGTATATATTCAGCAAATATATATTTATATATACAGCAAATATGCCTATGACTATAGCTTTTCTGTTACACTCAAATCTGTCCTTTCCTTTCTGTTCTAACTTCTACAACTAGGTATGCTATTTCCCTGCTTCCCCTTTGTAACCCTCTCAGGAAATTCCTAAAGGCTATGCCATCTCCACATGCCACTTCTACCCTTGCCTTCATGATGTGCACATACAAACAGCTCTGGAGCCTATGGGGCCATGTCTCACAAGAAAACGTTACTACAACTCTTCCACTATTCTTGGCCCATACCCTCTGGAACAAATCTGTAGCTTTCACTTTAAAAAGCATTGAGCTAGTGGACACTCAGTAGTAATGCTGATATTTCAGACACTCCAATAACTGGAGATTCTTTCTTTATCTGACTAATTACTTTTTACCTAGTCACATACTATCAAATATACAGAACTTTTCAAAAGTTACACAATTAATTATTCTCTATTCAGAGTTGTTCCTATTGGTTAATGGATTTACCTCTTCTACAAATAGAATTTCTAACATTTTCCTCATGCTTTTCAATTTTAATTTTAATATCTTCTATATTATGGGCATATTCTTATATCTCTTATTACTCGTAGTTTCAACACTCACTGCTTTGGGCCTTCTCAGGCATTAATGAATTAATGTCCAGAAAACACACCCATTCTAGGCACAAACACAGTAAACATATAAACAGTTAATAAAATGTATAAGGCTAAAATGTCGTCTCATCCCTAACACCATCCATTGGTAGCAAAAAGCGTGAACTGGCTTTATCTTGGAAAGACAGGTCTGCGGATATACACAGAAGTTTACAAGGTGAAGTGCATCAGCATCAGAGTTTCAGTATTTATCTTTATTCCAGTCTTGTCTTTGCCCTAAATCCACTGGCACTGCATTCTGTAACATCTTCTGCATTATTCTCCCATCCTCCTAAGTCCACTAACACTTCCTTAGTTATAAACATCATCATTGTTTATTTGGATTACAGAAATTCCCTATCTTAAGATTTTCCAAAGATCATAATGATTCTCACAGATGAGTGCCTGACTCAGGGCAGAAACAGTGCCACTGAAGTGGGCAGCAACTCTGAGCAATGAGCAGTGGCTATTGCAGTCACTCAAAAGTGACAGGGAGGGCAGTGAGGATTAGCCTATGTGCCTTTTGAAAACACTTATCCATATCTACTACGGCAAACATTCAAATTCCAGGACACACGGTGTTATTTTACCCCACTAAGCCACAGGTGAAACAAAATTCAACACAACTAAACATCTCACTTAGAAATCAAAGAAAATTTAAATCAGATTGAGGCAGTATTAGTGACAAGTCAGGAGTTGGATCATGTGATGTCCATGGACCTGGAATCTGAAAGTCAGTCCTTTTATTTATTAAGTAAAGTTTAACGAAAGAAAGGACTTTATATAAAGCACTGTACTAAACATCCTAATAATTTGGAAATCCTGAAAAACAGTTCATTTGTCCTCATTTGATTAAATCCAGTCAAATAAATAAAATACCTGCCTACTGATATTCAATGAGTATGCTATGGAAAGTCCAGAAGGTAATTGACAGGGCAGTTGGTAGTAAAATCAAGCAAAATTTTTTTCCTCCATAATCTCATTATACACAGAAAACTGTTAGTAGAAACTGTTGAGTTTTCACTCAAAATTCTCTAGTATCTATTTCAGCTGAAATGCTCCTAGTCCACATCACAATAAACCTTCACTTCAGCCACTATTATTGTTCACACGGTCTCACATGTTCACATAGTATGGCAGCCAAAATTGCCCTTTAAAGTTGTCATATTAATTTGGACAAGTTTTAATTTGGAAGCAAGTGGACCAAGCATGTAAAGGCTCAAAACATCAGGTGCTTCTTTCTCACTCATATAAAGCTCAGGATGGTTTTGGATTGGCCAGGAGGAGTTTCTACTCCACACAGCCATCCAGGAGTCCAGGCTGACAGTGGTTCTATCGTCTTAATATAAGCTTTCAGAATGCCCTGTCGAAATGCGAAGCAGTACAAGGAAGCCCACATGGGAAAATTTTATGAGCTAGCCCTACTGGTGGTATTCACCATTTCCTTACTGCCATAGATAGAATACAGTTGTGTGGCTCACAGCCAACTACAAAGAGGGCCAGGAAATGTAATCTGGCTGTATGCCCAGGAAGAAGAGACAAATGGATTTTGATGAACAGATGGAAGCCTCAACCTCAAAAAAAAATCATGCCACTCCTTTGCTTAAAACACTTTGCTTCCCATTGCACTTAAAACCACACTCATTACTTTGGCCTTTAAGGCCCACATCATCCGCACTGCCCACCGTCCTTAAGTTGTGCCATTCTCAGTGTCCTTACGAGGCCCAAACCTCAGAGGATTTTGTACAATTTTCTTTTTCTTTGTCTAATACCAAGGTCCTTGTAACCTCAGATCTTTGCAATGCCATTCATTCTGCTTAAAGAGCCTTCATTCCATCATACCACACTTCCCTAAGCTGGCTGCTTTTTTTAATCTCCAGGCTTCAGCTTAAATGCTATCTCCTTAAAATGATGTTCTCACTCCCTCATCTCACAAAAATGAGGAGCCCCCATCTAAATTAGATCCTCTCTTAGCCAATTATTCTAACTGAAAATAATATGTTCTTATCTCTCCTGGTCCTTAACACAAATGTCAAGGGTGTGTTTAGCTGAATGTTAAATCGTGGTTCTCTGTCTCCCCCCACAGAACTGCTAGCTACTAAGGCACATGCATCTAGCTTAACTCACCTTTGAGTCTTAAGCTCCATCACAGTTGCTAGCACATCAATAAAGTTCTGATGAAAAATTACATGAATAAATGATACAAATGAGGGAATAAAGAGCTTTTACACTTTTGGTGATTATCCGAAGATGAGAATATTGCTATACTGGGGATAGAAGAGAAGGAATTAGAAGTCAGGCAGTTCAAGTGGGAGCAAAGGCTCTAATGTAAGCTTGTCCAACCTGTGTCCTGTGGGCCACAGGCAGCCCAGGACAGCTTTGAATGCAGCCCGACATAAATTTAGAAACTTTCTGAAAACGTTAAGACTTTTTGTGGTTATTTTTAAGCTCATCAGCTGTCATTAGTGTTAGTGTACTTTATGTGTGGCCCCAGACAATTCTTCTTCTTCCAGTGTGACCCATAGAAGCTAAAACATTGCACACCCCTATAATTACAAAAGTTCCTGGCACACATGCGGACAGTGAGCAAACCATTCATTCAGGGAGGCTCCAGAACAATGCCACGAGGACTATTAGTACTTACTTGGGTCTGAATTTTACCATGTAGAAATAGAGAACCAAAAAATAAATAAAAAGAATGTTGATCAGATGGATTAGAACAAGGTACATTTTTATATTTCTCTGATGATTAAGGACCAGGGAGAAGCAAGCAAGAAGCTAAAATAATAGTCGAGATAGCAAAAGTGGCAGTGGGAGGAGAAAGGGGTGGAGAAGTGGGGAAAGAATTTCATTTAAAAGCAATTACAGGAAAAAATTATTTGGTACCTTTTAAAATTAAAGTTTTTCTACTCAAAACCTTCCAAGGAAAGTCTCCATTTCTCACTCAGATTAATAACCAAAGTTCCTAGAGAGCCCACCTAGACCCTCCCTGATCTCAGCATTACTACCTTCAAGACTCCATCACCTCTCCGGCTTCATCCTCTCACTCCCTTCCTTGCTGGCTTCACTCCTGCTGTATCGGACTCCTTGCTGATTCTGGAATACTCAAGGGCGGTTTCCCCTTTAAC